TTGTAGTCTACCACAGAGGTTACACTGCTGTCACCGCGGTGCTGCTGTAGCTCGTATACTTTGTAGTCTACCAAAGAGGTTACACTGCTGTGAGATCGGTAGGCCCGAGCGAGCTTCGGAAAGAGACATGTAGATAGAATGTTCTTATCAACTGACTCCTGGTCAGGCTATGATGGGTACTAGATGAGAGTGAGCACAAGGGGCGAAGGCGCGCTTGTGTCTCAGCTCAACCACAAAAACAAAAAACAAGCAGCAAACACAGCAGGTTCCGAGGGTCTTAGGGGTATGGGCCCGAGTACATGTACCGGAATTTTGGGGTTCGGAACAATAAAACAACTACAGTCTCGCCTGCCAAATTATCTCCGCTACAACTCTGTGCTCATGTTCTCTGCTGAGTACCATCTCTTCTTTCTNCACCTATGGTAAACTGTGTCTGACTACGTTGTAACAGTTATCCTCGACAACAACAATACAAAAAACGACTCAATAAGATAACAGGGGAAGGAGCGATGCCTAAAATACTCTACTAGACTACTCGTGAAACACGAGGGGTTCCGGGGGGAGAGTTTGTCGAACAATAAAACTAAGATACACCAAGCAAACAGCCTTTCTCTCTCTCTCTTCCCTCTCTCCCATGTGTTACGTATGATCACCCCCTCAGCGAGACGTTGTAGCTGAATAAGTTCGCTTCATCTTCTAGGGTGTGCGGTCTTCGTATGTGATCTGATGTACAGCCGCCGGTGGTGAGAATCGGGTTTGAGTACGGGAGGCGAGGAAAACAGCGCAAATATATATATATATATTTTTTTTGCCTTCCGACGATTACAGATGTTCCTCAGAAAACTTTCACTTGATGTCTCATACTTTACATGAATATTAAATTAATAAGAAGTACAACAAACATATGTAGGACTTATTTCTACTGTCACTTACATCGTCAAAATATCTCTTCTTCAACTTGAAATAAAACAATTGACAATCCTCATGGTATCCTATATGCGTTCGTAAGCTTGCTAAAATACTAATGCGTTGTTGACGTTCCGTACGGTAGTTTTTGCAACACAATGCTTGTGTGTAAGCCAAAGAAGCAGAGAATGTTAGACAATCAATCGCTGATTTATGAAAATATGGCCACACACAGCAGCAGTAGTATCGCTATATGCTCTGCCAGAGGGTTTTGGGAGTTAGATGACTGTAGAAGTTCGTGTGTTGTGTGTTGATGGGATGCGGAGCAGACCCTGTAGCCGCTCTACGATTAACTGCGGCTTACGGCCGTGTTAAACGGACCGACTTTTTTGTCAAAATTTTCGACATTTGTCTTTCAAAAACTTGGAACCTGTGTGCAGTCATTTTAAACGTGTGACGTGGACTTGTGCAACTTGTGTAAAAAAAAATGACGCCGTCCGTGAGTTGTAGCGCTCACTTCTCGAGACAACACACACGACACAACACAAACCGCGGAAAACACGACATCATGGACACCGACATGGATATCACGACCACCCAGCGTGGCCGGCAGACCAAAACCCCGGCGAAATTCCAGCAGACGGGCTCTCTCGGTGCCGCCGTAGGCGGTGGAGGCTTGCTCTCCAGCAAGATAGTGCTGCTGCCTGGCATCTCGGGGAACACTCATGTTACCACGGGAGGCGCTGCCGCCACCAACACTCAGAGCGAGGGTGGAGCAGGCCGCCGGCGAGGGGTGGCAACCACTGCTCCTACCCCCCCGGGAAAAGGAAAAAACAAAGCGGCGGACGCGAAGCAACAACTGCAAGCCATCATGGCGGGCCGCCGTTTTTCGGACGACACAGCAACAACAGACAGCATCGTCAACGTTGGCAACAGCGACGATAGCAATAGCGACAGCGACAGATGACTCACACACAACCCTAGCTGACTTTCTACGGTGAGGGGCACTCGTGGTGCAGACGCAGCAGCCCTCGCGTGCCTCTGCAAGGGTACTTTGGAAAGTGCTCCAAATACTTTGAGAGGGTTGTCAAAAAGTTGGAACGAAGTGGAGCAAAGTTTTCGCGCCCAACTTCGTTCCAAATATTTTTGAAAAAAATGGACAAACGCCTACATACAGGTTCCATTTTTTCGACACTTTATTTTGACAAAAAGTCGGTCCGTTTAAAACGGTAGGTAGTAGGTAGCCAGAAGACGTTTCCGCAAAAAAATAATAGGTACTTCCATGAAACGGAGGAACAACCAACGTATCTTATGTTTTTTTCTTGTCTCGGGCGGGTGTAGTTTTTCACACAGCTGTGCGCACGCCACCGGCCGCCAGCTCCCCCGCTTTTCGCCCTGATCGAAAGGGAGACGCACTACAGTGGCACCGTGCTTTGTCCCATGTCACGCAGAGACTTGGTGGCTTGGTTGGCGTGTGTGGTAAGAAGCGTGTGTAGCGTGTAGCCAGCGGACACCCACCACGTCAGTCAGCCGCTTGCCGAATGGTATGGACGGCCTGCACTGTCAAGAAATCAGGGCGTAATTGGTGGATCCATGGCTCCCTTCTTCCCCTCGCTCCTCGACAAGCTTTTGCTTAGACATGGGTTGTAGTGAAGGGGGGGGTCTTTCTGGCGAGCAGGGCTAGACTCACCCTCAAGGGATGACCGAAACCTTCTTGCTGCTGCGCATATCCGCCGCGAGGCATGCGCGTGGTGGTGTAGTTGGGTCGGCACTGATGGGGTCAGGCGAAAAAATGTAGATGCGCGGGCCTCTGGCCGTCGGCGTAGGCAGCGATGCCCATCTCATTTTTTGTGCGCGGAGGCAGACACCGTCAGAAGGTGGACGGGAACTATGTACACGGCCCTAGGTTGGCTAGAGGGCGCTGCATTGCCTCAGTAACCTGGCTTCGCCATCAAAGGAGGAGGGAGCAGGTGGCGACGAGCTGAACTGGGCTGGTTGACCCCTTCGGCGCGAGAATTTTTATTTTTCAGACCAAGAACCTTGAGTGCAACGAGGGAGAAAGCGAGGAACCGACTGGGAAGGACAGCAACGAGAGCGTGTACGGACGGAGCAGGTCGAGTGGCGTTATGCTCGGGCTGACTACAGCGGCGCCGGACGGAGCAGCGGCACCGGAGCATGCGGGCGACATCGACCCGTGGCGCACCGACAAACATTTGTGTCTGATTTCTCTTATTTTTTTCCTGATTTTCGGTGTTGGTTCTATGTGATGACGTCGTCACTGGTTTTGTAGAGAGACCCGTCAGAGATGGCGTGGCTAACCCGGGTGCCTTGGTTATGTGCCTGATCGTGGAAGACCCCTTCAATGTGGAACGATTCTTAGCTATTGTCGATATTTTCACTGCGTGCCTAACACAGACGATCGGGAGAGGTTCGGGTGATTGTCCATTGCAATCATGGCTTTGGTTGGTTGTTCTTTTTCACTGTACGTCCGCAGACACATTCTGACAGCACTTCAGACAGCAGCTTTGTGCCCCGCCAGCTTCTTGTTCCATGCCTACCATGGTGTTTTTGTACAGACAGCACTTCAGACAGCAAGTATGCTGTAGTCGGCAATCATTCGTTTTGGTACAGAGTGGGACAGGTAGGGGGTGATGTTGCTGTAGTCGAACGGTGAGACGGACGTGTAGTTCAGTTTTGGGCACGCGTACGGTGCTGCAGGGATTATATATAGGTGTAGTAGTACCTCTTCGGGCTCTTGGATACCTTTTTCTTGCTACGTGTGCGTGTTTTTTAGATCCTCAGATGGCTCTAGCACTTTCGTGACCACGGGCTGAGAGTCTTTGCTAGATTTTGGCATTTAGCAACTGGCATACGGTTTAATGTGAAGTCAACAACAACAAACAAACAACAAATGGTAGATGTCGGAGACGCGACTTTCGGCCCCCGCTAAACGCTGCACGCAGTCCGCCCCGAGAGCGCGCGGCACGCCGAGAGAGCCCTCGCAACACAAGGCTATCGGTAGGTGCAAGTCTCGCTTCGAGGTGAGGTCTACGGGCGGAGAAACCGGGAAAACAGAGCGCTATCTAGGCGCACGAGAGCATCAGGATTGCATTTCCTGCGATCTCGTGAGCCCTCAGCCCGCAGTAAATCCGTCTATAGGTCTATATATAGCTGAGTATGCATGATGAGTAGTTTTGAAGTACTTAGTGAATATCGTTGTATTCTTGAACTTTCGCAATAATCGGAGTATGGATGAGTATTATTTTGGAATATTTATAATCAAAGGGTTCAGTATAAGGGGAGTATTTTTGAAATAATTACAGTGCGGACATAATAAGAAGGTACTGAGCGGAGACTGGAACGGTTTTTTATGTGAAGACAACAACAACAACAACAACAACAACAACAACAACAGCTCAAGGATCTAATAAAAAATACTCAAGCATCTGAGTACGCATGATGAGTAATTCTTAACTACATACTCGATCTCATGAGTATTGATCAGTATTATTATTGAAATACTTGCTTGTTCCCCTCGCTGCCTCAGCAAGGTTTAAGCTTAGGCATGACCAATAACGAGGGGGGGAGTCTTTCTCGCGAGCAGGGCTAGACTCACCCTCAAGGGATCGATACCTTCTTTCTGCGGCGCACCCGCCGCGAGGCGTGCATAGTGGTGGAGTTGGGTCGGCACTGGTGCGTCAGGTACAAAGGTGCAGATGCGCGGGCCTCCTTGGCCGTCGGTGTAGACAGCAATGCCCATCTCAACTTTGTGCATGGAGGCAGACGCCATCAGAACGGTGGACGGGCAAGATGTACACGGCCCTAGGCTTGCTAGAGGAAGCCGCACTGTCTCAGTATCCTGGTTGTGCCATCAAAGGAGGAGGGGACAGGTGGTGACGAGCCGATTAGGCTGGTTGACCCTTCTGCACGAGAACTTTCAGACCAAGAACCCTAACTGCACCGAGGGAGAAAGCGAGCAACCGACTGGGAAGGACAGCAACGAGAGCGTGTACGAAGCGGAGCGGGTCGAGTTTGGTCGTGCTAGGACTGACCACAGCGGCCCCGGCGCAGCGGCACCGGAGCAGCGGCACCGGAGCATGCGGACGGCATCAAACCGTGGTGAACGGACAAACATCACTTGTCGTGTTGTCAATTATTTTCCGTTTTTTGTTCCTGAATATAGGTGTTGGGTGTGTGTGATGATGTCACTGGTTTTGAAGAGAGACGCGGCAGAGATGGCGCGGATAACCCGGGTGCCATAATTGTGTACCTGCATCGTGGAAGACCCCTTCAATGTGGAACGATTCCTAGTCAGTGTCGATGTTTACACTGCTGTGCCTAACACAGATGATCTGGATAGATTCGGGTGATGGTCAATTGTATGTCCGTCCACGGACGGACGCATTTTGACAGCACTCCAGACAGCAGCTGCATGCCCCGAACTTGTGTACCATGTTTTTACCATGGTGATATTATTGTACAGACAGCACTTCAGACAGCAGTACGCTGTAGTCGATAAACATTCATTTTGGTCAAGTGCGGGACAAGGGGGTGATGCTGCTGCTGTAGTCGAGTTGTAGTGTGTGGGCGTGTAGTTCAGTTTTGAGCACGCAATGCGTGCTGCAGGGATTGTAGGTGTACCTCTCCGGGACTGCTGTGTACCCTTTTCTTGCTAATAGTGTGCGTGTTCTTTAGATCTTCTGATGGCTCTAGCATTTTTGTGACCACGGACCGAGTCTTCGCTAGATTTCGGCAATACTNGATGCTGCTGCTGTAGTCGAGTTGTAGTGTGTGGGCGTGTAGTTCAGTTTTGAGCACGCAATGCGTGCTGCAGGGATTGTAGGTGTACCTCTCCGGGACTGCTGTGTACCCTTTTCTTGCTAATAGTGTGCGTGTTCTTTAGATCTTCTGATGGCTCTAGCATTTTTGTGACCACGGACCGAGTCTTCGCTAGATTTCGGCAATACTCAAGCAACAAGGTTTTCGTGTGATTGAGAGCGAAGTTTCTGATTGAGAGCGAGGTTGCGCGATGCGCTGTAGCTGGACTACCGCTGAGAGGTGGAGCTTGCTGCGTGACTTGAATTGAAGGCTTAGCCCGTAGCTACAAGCCGATACGCTGGTCATCCTGTGGGCGTCTCTCGTTGTGGAGCTACAGCGGGGAGCAGATCTACAGCAGAGCTCACCGCCCGCGATCGAATCGCCCTGAAACAGTTTGAGGCAGGAATAGCCAATCTGGGGAAATCTAGCAACTTGTCTAGCTCCTAGCTGCAGCATCCGATCGCGATGACACGCATATGCTCGTGACGCTGCTGTTGAGACCTTCAATTTGCGCCGCTTCTTGTAAGAGCCCGCCCCCTACTTCCCAAGAAATGGCAAGAGGCGTCTGGACCCGAAATTTCAATTTTTTTGGCTCCCGCTCTCAATCGTATACTCCGCTCTCAATCAGGCGAAAACCCTGTTAAGCCTATTTAGGTTGAGTATTTACTCAAAAGATACTTGACTATGAGTATTCCTTCTATCCGCCCCCCCCAGGTTATTGGCTCTTTCGCCACCCCGCAAATTGAACCATTTCAAAACAAACGTCAATATAGAGTGAGTGCAGGCCGGCAGTCGATGAAAAGCACGCATAAACTGCAAAGACCATATTAACGTACAGTAGGTGTCCAGGTATAGTGCCGGTGTGTGTCCAGGGGGGGGG